TTTAGTGGCACTGTGACTCTGAATTCTGAAAGAGATCAAGTTCATTTATGTTTGTCAGGAGCAGAAAAGAAAGGAATGGATTTCTATAGGTGCTATGAATTTCTATGAATTTGTGATGTACCTTGGGCAGGTTACTTCAGAAACCTTTTTCTCATTATCCCTATTTGTAGAACAGTCTACCTCACAAGATTGTCATGAAAAATCTGTTTGCAAAGTATCAGGCACAAAACAGTCTCTCAATAATCAACTACATCTTTGTTCTTTACCAGTGATTTCTGACAAGCTTAAGCAAGGTGTATTGTGAGGCTCCAATAATTTATTATTACCCATGAATCTTTATTCAAAACTCCTCAGTACTTTTCACTTTTATTCTTGTTTAAGACATATAGCATTTGTCCATGATATATGTGCTGCTGTCATCTAGAAATGTCTTCTACTTTACTAGTATGTGACTTATACTGCACATTCATTCATTCATTCATTCAGTAACAATGAAAAATGATTTGTGAACCACTGCAATGACAAGCCTTTACAATTTTTACATGTTAATTAAAGGATAGACTCTCCCAGACCTCAGTTTGCTCATCATCTAGCATAGAAATACAACTTTGCAAACAAATAAATGACAGATACAATGATAGAACTATAAAGTGTCAGGAGGTGGGGACAAGTGAAGGGAGCCTGGTCAGCTTTGCCTGGCTGGGATAATTGGGAGCTGGGGGAGGAATGTGGTCCAGAAAGGCTTCTGATGCTACAATTGAGATTTCCAATGGAGTCCATGTTCCAAGGTAGATTGTCAGGGGATAAGAGGTCTCAGTGCAAAGGCCATTGTAGGCAGGGGGAACAGAATGAGCAAATGCCTAGTAACACAGGTGGGCAGGACATATCCAGGGAGGTATAGAAAATGCCTGTGTGAAGCCCTGCTTTCTACAGCTCCCATTTAATGAGAACTGGTGTATTTCTGGTCCATCTCACTTAATCCCCATAGCAGTTTTGTAGGTAAGTATTATTATCACTGTCTTTAAAAATAGAAGTTGAGGTTCCATATCTGAGAGATGAGTGCATTGTCTTCAGGCCTGTGAGTGGAAATCAAGCCTAAATCTGAGGAAATAGATGAAACAAAATAATAACAGCAGTAATAACAAAATAATAAAACAGCAAATGTGCACATAATACTAGGCATCTTAACCTGCACTAACACAGTATAGCCACCAGCTTTATGTGGCTATTTAAATTTAATTAAAATGGAATAAGGTGGGAAACTCATTTCCTCAATTGTACTAACCTCATTTCAGTGGCTCAGTTGCCATATGTAACTGCATTACACAGTGCCAATATGGAACATTTCTGTCTTCACAGATTGTTTTATCTGACAGCATTGGTCTAAGCACTTTACATGTGTTAACTCATATTTTTATGACAGTCTTATGAGTAAGGTATATTTAAATGGTACAGATGTGAAAACTGAGGCATAAGAAAGATAGAAAACAAGGTCACATGATAAATGACTTCTGGTTTTTAAGTGCTTTGCCATAATGTATTATATTCTGTATTATATTCTATGTAACAAAAGTGAATCTTAGTCAAAATAATAGAGTTATGTGTCGGCCTATATGTAGACTAGTGATTGGTCCTCTGCAGAGAAAATATCTTTGCTATCGTTCTTGCTTCTCCAAGCTTTGCACACATGAGGCTGGTGGTCTGTAGAGAACATCCCACCTAGGGATTTCACCCTCTCTGACAGCTTAGTCAAACAGCTCATTTGATGGAATTTACTAGTCCGCTCATTCCCTCAAATGGCAGAATCAAGAGTATCAGGTTGACATAGTCTTACGTAATGTACAAAAACCCTTCTCATCTTTCTTCTTCTTCTGACAAGGTGTCTGAGAATCTTATTCAAGATACCAACACATCAGACAAGGATGGCCTACTGTGAGCCATCCCCCTGCCTCCAAGTAGCTAAATAAATTTGATGAAACGACTTCACCTCTCTGAAATTCACTTTTTCCAACTGTGAACTGGAAATAAAATACATGTATCACAGGATTTTTCTAAAGGTTAAATGAAGGGTGCAGTGTCTAAGGATGCTTTGTAAGCTATAAAGTACTTTATGAACCTATAAAGTGGGAGATAATTATAACACAAATGCTGGAACTTGGGATGTTTTTCTTCTATATAACCCTATAAAGTTTTCAAAGCAGCTGTGGCTTGATAAATTACAGGATAATGTACTCTTAATCATAACATTTACTAAGTCCCTTTTTTCTTTTATATAAATATAGTAGGTACTCAATAAATGTTTGGATGAAAGAATGGATGGTTGACTGCATGGCAGAGAGGGAGGGAGTTAACACATATGGGTATATGAGAGCTGTTCATTGTTTTAATTTTTTGCTTTTAACATTTTTTAAAACATATTGCTTGATATGAGCCATATCTGCTTTTTGAGGGGTGTGAGTCATTAAATTTGAGGCCCTAAGTTGATTCCTTGAGCCAGCAAGCTTGTTTTTATTTTGGGGGAAGGGGGATCTTTGTTTTTTCATTCAACAAAACTTATTGAGCAACTACCATCAGCATGGCATTGTGCAAGTTCTAGAAAAAGCACAGTTGAATATGTCACTTTTTTGTTGTTTTTTGGGTTTTGTGGGGGGTTTTTGTTGCCTGTTGCCGTTGCTGCTAATTCTGCTCTTACTCAGTCCAAGAAATACAGAATAAACTGACACTGGTGCAGTCATAAGAAGGGCCCCAGCAGTGTTGAGGGCTGCACTTGTCAAAATCTCATCTCATAAATTGTTTCCTGATGTATGTATGCAGCCTGTGATTTTTCTACAGATTGTGAAATGTGTTTATTCTGAAAGGAGAAAGCTCCTCCCACCTCCTCTTGCTTTTCCGTTTGTCCTTAGGCCTCTTTTCTCATGGTAACAACCCCCTACACTACCACCCCAAACTCTGTGAGACATAGGAAAATAAAAATATCACCTCTTGGATTCTTGTAATCTCACAGAGAGCATCCCCCATGCACTGCTGTAGAGTCTGGGGTGACATTAAGCAGAGTGTGGAAAACAGCCCTTTAGGGAAAACTGGGCAAGATCTGTCTCTTGGTGGTGCTGTACAAGTGTGCCTGGCATTGTTCAAGTCTCAGGACTGGAAAATTAGGATCCTGGGACAAAGTTTGTTGTTCTTGTGTTTCCTGGCAAGCAGGCACTTTACCTCGTATATTAGAAGAAACATCCAATATATCTTCTCAATATATTGGATACTGAGAATGGCTGAGGAAGGAACTCCATTTGAGATCTATTTCTCTCATTGTGGAGAGGGGAACAAGTTCAAACTTATAGCAGAATTGGTGCTAAAACTCAGATTTTTCTAACTCTTAAACCCAGGCACTTACTTATGTTCCATATTAAACTAACATTTCCAAGTATGTTTCCTTTATATAAGACAATTATAACATCATAAAATGAGAAAATATTGAATAAACATAGATTTTGGAGTCCCAGAGTACAAGGTCAGATTCTGGCACTGCTTTGTATGTGGATGACCTTGGGGCTGTTACCCAAACACTCTTCTGATCCTTTGTTTCCATACGTCTCAAAGGGAAGAAAGGATATTTACCTTTCATAGATATTGCAAAGATTAAATAAAAGAGTAAGGACCTTAGCATGGTACCCAGCCTACCTTTGATGTCTGATATGTTTACTGGAAACAAAGAACACAGTTGATTCTTGAGAGACAGTTCAGGTAATGTTGATGATATTGTTGGTAGTAATGGGCTTCATGATGGAGACGTGACTACTACCACTAAAAAGTCTATTCTTGAATATTTCCTCAATATAAAATCAACCAAATAATTTTGTTATTATTCTCATTTTATAGCACATCTTTTTGTTTCCAAATTGCATTCTTTTCTCACTACAGGTCATTAGTTTTTAAGTTCTAAACCTCGATAAAACAATAGTGAATCTGCTAACCAAAGAAGAAAAAGAAATATTTCCCACAAATTTCTTCTTTACTCATTTTTTTCTGTCAGAATTGAATGACCATGTAAGATTAAATTTGCCTGCACATAACATAGCTGGAACCAGTCAATGTGGGTCATTCTCAGGAATTCCTTGAGCTGTTTGTAACACTGTGGCATCAGTGGTCAACCCCCTTTCTCTATGGATAGTAAACAATGACTGTCTGATTATTACTGGGCTTTTATCTTAGTGGGAAAAAACCAACACTTTGGAATCAGATTACCTGAGTGAGAATCACAGCCCTTTCCGGAGCTTTGTGACCCTGGTGAAGTGTTTTGTTGTTTTCATTTCTAAGCTTCAGTTTCCTCATTTGTTAAAATGAGAGTAATAATAGTCCCAATCACATTAGTAAGTTTTTTAAAAATTTTTATTTTATTCATATGTGCATACAATGTTTGAGTCATTTCTCCCCCCTTATACCTGTTCCCTCCCTTATCCTCCCCTTACCCCCCCACCCCTCACTACCCACCAGAAACTATTTAACAGTAAGTTGTTTTAAGAATAAAATGAGACCTATGTAGGGAGAGATCATGCAAGAAAAGCTTGATTGAAATAAGATCATATCAGGTTTCTTCCTTTCCAGAAGTGCTTGTGCTCTGAATGGGAATAGTTAATACCCTAAGTGTTTAAAAAAGATGAAATTTTATATACCGTAAGTATTTAACAAAAACAAAAAAAAGCCAGAATTTTACACACAAAAATGGTGGTCATATTATGAGGGAGCCGAGAGGAAGTTAGAGATCAACAGAATGGAAGCTGCTACCAATCATAGGATAGGGCTCAAGGGGAAGAGAGGGGGTTACCACAGTTCAAGTATAGTGAACATCAGAAGAAGATGCTGGAGCTAAGACTGCCCTATCAACAGAGCTGAAGACAGAAGAGAAGCAACCTCTACTGGAGCATCTACCTGAGATAAGGAAAGAAGAGGAGATAGATACACACATCACAACATCAGCCCTCAGATCTCCTGGCAAGGCTGACTTTGACTAAGTCTGGGAACTGCTGTCTTCAGGGGCAGCCCCACCATACTGAGCAGAGCAGCAGGTTGATCTGAAAGTGAGTAGGTCCAAGATTCTTGTAGACTCAAGTCTCACACCTCAGTTGCCTGCTTACTGTAATCTAACTTGTGATAACCAACAAAAATGGTTTAGAATAACTATATTTCTCTCTGATGCTGAGCTTCTGAACAATAGCAGAGGTGTAAAAGTTGCAGTGCTCAGAAGGTAGAATTTGGAAAAACAATAGCAAAAAAAGCTGTAAATGTCCTGTCTGTGATCCTATAAAGTCCACTATCTGAGTAGCCAGGGCCTTTAATATCTGGAGATTTGTGGTCTGGTGAGTTGCCCTCATCTGCCTTTCACCTGGCCAACTCCTACAAAACTCATATATATTGAATTCTTTAGGAAACCCCCTTGAGAGTCTGCAGTTTCTGCTGTGGATCTGTAGTGATTCCCTGCACTGAAATGCTCCATTTAAGGTTTTCTTTCCCTTGCCAGACTGTCAGCATGCTGAGCACAAGGTTTTGTCTTCTTCATCCTTGCCTCCCCAAGCATTTATACTCTTACTTCCTGCCCTGAGCTAGCAACTATAGTAGGTCCTGGGCTGCTAAGGATGTGAATAAGGCAGTACCAGCATCCTGCAGTTTTTATCATAGAATGAAAGCGTACAGTGGATGATAACTCAAAATTACCAGCATCTCTTCTGCTAAGGAAGTTCAGTGGTGCATGAGAATGTAAAACAGGAGAGTTCATTTTTCCCAGAGTGTCAGGAAAGCCCTTTCTGAGAAAACAACGTCTGAGTTAGTAATAAACAGGAGTTAATCTGGCAGAGAGGTTGAGGAATGTCCTTCCTGGCAGAGGAATGAGCACACGCAAAGGTCTTGATTAAAAAAGAGTCTATGTAATGGAAATTGAGAACAGAGTGTCTGTGCATAGAGCTGATGGGTTCAGCAGAAACTTTTCTCTCCTGCATCCCAGTGTCTGAGCTCTGGTTTACTCACCTTTTGCTGCCTGCATCATATTTTAATTTTGCAAACTTACATATTTGTGGCTCCCACATTGCACCCAGTATATCATTTTGTCATAGAAGGTGCTTGTTTGATATTTGAATAAATGAAGAACAGCTGTAACTAGTTCTGTAGTCATATTTGTAATTTTACTTGCACAAGAAGTATCAAAGAATGTAGTGTGAGTGGAAAGATCTGAGTTTCTATTCTTTATGGGAACCTCCCTCCTCCATGGCATTCTTTTAACAGAGACTTACTCTCTTTCACATTTGGAGCTTTGCAATGAGTAGAAGCAAGAATGATGACCTAGGAATGTGGAAGATGTAGTCATCAAACTGTTCCTTTGCTTTTTCCTTCTTTCAGATTGAGATGTGATTAAGCTAGATTCTAGGGGATCTTTAATAGCATTGTGACCTTGGGCACATCCTCTGATGTCTGTGGTATTAATAACATTTACTTGATGTCTTTAATATCAAATGAGACCATACATATAAATATATAACATAGTGCCTGATACATAGCATGAAACTTGTAACCATTGCTTTTGGTATATAAGTCATTATGGTTACTAATATTACAAGGTTGGATGCCATTCATGGATCAGAGTAAAGTAAAATCAGTAGGTTTCCTAGTTTGCCTATAGAAGGCAAGTATGCTCTTTTAGGTTCAATTTGAGACTGGTCTGTACCTGGAACTCTTCTTCCATGTTGTTTGACTTTTTATAAAAGTGTTTATGGTTGTTTTTAGCTTGCTTCCCTTTTTTAAAGAGGATTTTGTTTGTTTTTCTTTCTCACAGGAGTGATTGGAGCCGATGTGAGGGGTAATGGACTCATCTGTGAGGGACAACCAGTGACATCACGACTAGCTATCATCTGTGGAACATCTTCTTGCCACATGGGGGTGAGTGAGCTGAGCACAAAGGCAAGGCTACCACATATAGTGGGAGGCAGCTCTGGGGGGGATCCTGAGCTGCTATCTCCTTCATATCCTTCACTTCTTCCCTCTGTTCCCTTTTGCCCCTAGTCCAAAGTCCAGCCCTCCCTCCCACAACCTTGCTTAGACTTGTCAAGTTATTTTCCAGGGACCAAACTCTTAAAAAGTATGAGAGAATTGAGTCTGCTTTTGAAGCCACGCTGGACAGAGAACCCAAACATGACAAGCGAACTTGGGCCCAAAGATGGCAAGCCTCAATCCTCCAGTCTGATCTCTCCCCAAGGAGTAGCCAAGTCCTCCCTGCAAAGAGGTGTCTGTTTTCTTTGGCCACTGAGCTCTTTCTCCATTAATATAAATCCATCTCCCTGGGAGTGTCCTGGTGATCTATAGAATTAGGCTGCATATCATGACTTTAAAAGAACACTGATAAGCAATTTTCACTTGTTAATTTTTCCCCGTGAATTAGTGGAAAGGCTTTCTCCAAGATTGCAGTTAAAATTTAGTGCCTTCCCTAAAATTTATATCTTCTTTAAATGCATGAGTCTGAAAGCATTCCATTTCGATAAGTACCCATTTCTACTATATTTTTATTTAAAAGTCATTACTCTGTTAAACTGAGATGGACTACTCCTTGGATTTTTCCCAGACAAGTAAAATAAAGGGGAAAGTGGGGGAGGAGTGGGAGATGAGCAGAGAGTAGTGTGGGATACAGCCTGAGACAGAAACTCTGCAACTAAGGAGGAAATCATGTGTCATGTGGAGCTGTTTAGTAACTGTAGGACCACTGATCCTTTTTTACTGATAGAGGTGCCTTTATTTACTGATTCCTGCTTTCAGGTTCTGGCTGTGCTAATGTCTGGGGACATAAGGATGGCATAGCCCCCCTCCCCCCATATGAGATAAAATCATAACAGTACAGTATAAAGCCCTCAAATACAGATTCAGATTGAACTTGTGATAGTGAGCATATGTTATGTGTCTTGTGCCAGACACTTTGCAAGGTGTTCTCCTATGTGGTCTCCCACATCATAGACAAAATAAAGCCATCCCAACTAGTTTCTAATCCTACTTCCACTTCCAGAGTTTGGGCCCTTGGGCAAGGAGTTTCACTTCTCTGGGCCTCAGGTTCCTTAAGGGATGGGAAGGGGAGTGCACTAGTCCCTGTTTAGTATGGGGACCGAATGAGCAATGTACAGTACTTCATGCAGGGTGAACCCTGCGCAGAGCCAGCTCTTGATTACCAGTCCTGTTGTTGTCCAGCAGCAAGGAAACAGAGGCTGACTGCTGGGAGGGGAAAGGGTTATAGACATCTTCCTGAGGTGATGTTTGGGTTTGGCTTTAAAGAATTACATTTCCTTTTATGTTTCTCTGGGCTCTGAGCTAAGAACTCAGATTTTGTTCTGTCTGGTTCTAAAGCTCATTCTCCTCCACACCATGCTATGTCATGCATGCTCACCATGTGCCCATCATGGGATGGAGAGCGTGTGAGCTTTCAGATCACCAGATGTAGGCTGAAGCATCTGCTCCCGTATATTTTGGCTCTGTGATCTGAGTGAGCCACTTAACTTCGCTGACCCTGAGATTCCTTATCTGTCAAACTAGGGGTAATGATGCCTGTCCCATAGAGTTGATGGATGATGTGTGCTATATCTGTATGTGCCTAGGATATAGTCGACACGCAAGAATGGTGGAGATTCTTATGAAAGTTTCGCAGTGACATAAATTGTTCACATGAAGCAATTGTTTGGGCTTTAATGAATCTGATGGGCAGTTGGTTTCAATGAATGAGGGCCATAAAATGCCAGTTTATTATGTGGTGTTGTACTGAAAATACAGTCCCCACCTCCACCCTACTTTGTACTTGGGAGTGGGAAGGGACCTTCTGGGCCAAGGGGATTAATCATCAGCTTTAATTTTATGTCATGAGGAACAGACTATGGTCTTCCTGTCCTCAGAAAGTGCCTTTGATCTCCCTCAGGTGCTGGGAGCTCAGCAAACAGGCAACAATAACACCTTTGTGAGGTCTAGGAGAGGCTCAGGTCTGAGGAAACACTCCCAGCGAAACTCAAGGACCCTTTTGTTGTGGTTCTGGCAAATAAAACCACCAACTGTCAGGAAAAATTCACCCAACAGAATACAGGGACCAAAGGGGCTGTGAGTTTGTCAAAAAGTGGTTTTCAACATGATCTAAAGTATCCCCTTACTTTCTGTCTACTCACTTCTGATGTTTCCAATTCAGTGGGCTAATTGAGACAAAATTCCTAGGAACATTTTGTGCTTGATCCAGAGTGCCTCTTTCTAGGTCACTCAAAAATAATGATTAAAGGAAGGAAGGACCAAGTAATTGAGTACTGGTAAATACTTAGAAGCTCCCTACCTCCAGGTTCCTGTTACCTCCAGGAATCTGAAGAAAAAAACCTGAGGTTGAACATAGGATATACTAATCAGGCCTTTGATATTTTAGAAGATACAAGTATGGGCTGCACATTTATCTTCCTCACTCATGATTTAATTAACAGAAAAAAAATGTTCTTTTTTTTAACTCTGTGAAAGCAGAGCTGCTTGTTCAGAGTTAATTACTACCAAGTCACCCAAATGCAGGGCAACACACAGCGGAGGTTAGCCAGAGGTTGCAAAGTCACAGAGTCAGAGGGAGCTGCTCCTTGCCATTGTTCCAGCTTCCCTTTCTGGAGCTGTCAAGTCAGGTTGTGACTTGGCAGCTTGTCCTCCAGTTAGCATGTGAAATGGTGAATAGGCTTCACATGGTGGGCTGGGCCTGAGTATTGCCACATAAGGCACAGAGCAATGCTTCATGAGAGCACCTTAAATTGCTTAGCAAGGAAAGTTTCTCAGTCTCAGGTGAATTTAGACACAGAGTCAGAGTGACTATAGAATGTCAAAGTCATAGGCTCCTTATGCTGGTCCTACCATTGAATAAGTGAATTTAAGTAAGATATTTCATTTGTCAGTGCCTTAGTTTCTTTATTTGTTAATTTTGGGCAGTAGAATTTTCCATAAAGTTATGCCTCACACTTACTAGGCAAGTGCTCTATCACTTGAGTCACTTCCCTACTCCTTTTGCCTTTAGTTTGTTTTTCAGATAGGGTCTTGCACTTTTGCTTGGGTTGCCATTGGAGTGCAGTGGTCCTTATCTCAGCCTCCCAAGTAGATGGGATTACAGGTATGAACCACCACACCCAGCCTAAATTAAACAGTCTTTATAAATGATTTGGCACTGTTCCTGGCATAAAATACCAAATATTATGTTATTATTAAAAATGATTCATTAAGACTAGAATGATCCATATAGTAATGGATTAGAATTGGTGACATCAGTATGAGCTCATATTTAGCCTTACGTAGGAAATGCTTATGGGTATGTGTACATACACAGGTTAGCAAGCATGCATATTTCCCAGCTCTGTCATCTGGAAGGGCCTAGAAACAAGAATACTCTACCAACTAGCTGTTACAGGCACACCTTGTACCCAGATCGTGGTTCCTCATACCCAAATTCAATAAAGAGAACCAGGACTCCTTGGAAAAATGGTTGGCTCTAGAATTGGGATAGGAAATATACATGACAATAAAATGTCTGCAGCTAGATTTTTTTTCTAAAGAAAAGTGGGTTTTAGTCTATAGTTCTGGAGGTTCAAGGGGATGTTTCTGGGATTGGGTCTGCTCTGGGGAGGGGTTGGTGAGGACCCAATGACATTTTGGTAAGTGCTGGCCAGAGAGAGAGATCACATGGTGAAGCACGAAGTCATAGCAAGGGGAGGGGACATTCTTGTTCTCTCTTCTTTCCTCCACTGAGATAGACCTCTAGAACATTCCATTCCCATCCCCTGCCCTACCCACTGCCACTCTGTGCCCTTGGAAGGAGGGCATGATTTCCTCCTTTTGGACCTCACCAGAAAGCACTTAGGCTGCCTGGCTTTGTGGCCTGATGACTATTCAGTTGAGAAAGACAGTTGGAAGCCTATGGCCTTGGAGTCTTTGGGCTCTAGGCCAGAGAAAAGTCTCCCTTCAGACTGTGCCATAGTGTTAGAGCTGTGTTCTTTGTGAAAAATCTTTAAGGGCACTCTACAGCTACCTCTGACCATCTGAGGAAAATATTCACAAAAGCAAAGGGTGTCTGAGCCTTGTGTAGCTGCATTTTACCCAGAGGCATTGCCAGTGGGGCAGTGGACAAGGTGTATTTGTTAGTGAAGCCAAGGATACTTAACTGCCTTTGGGCAGGAAAGGGAAATAAAACCACAATGAGATCCACTACACCCTTACTAAAATGGCTAAAGTCGTGGTGAGATGGTGGGGAACTAGAACTCTCACACACCACTGCCAGGAATGTGAAATGGCATGAACATTTTGGAAAACAATTGAACAGTTTCTTAAACAGTTATACCTCCCAGTGATCCAGATATTCCATTCCTATAAAAGCTGGGCAGGACTGAGGACTGTGTAGCCCCCTGTTTCTGGAAGCCCACAGACAACAGAAACTCAGGTGAAAGGAAGCTTCTCTGAAGGTCAGTAACAAAAGCCTGGTGAGAGCCTACCTGGCATCTCTCCTGAACTCAGCTCTCTGCAAAGGACTGCAGCTTACCTGGGAGAATGGTAGAAGTAGTGGAGGGAGAAAATGGGTAGCTGCATTTCAGTTGCCTCCTGAAGAGCTGCAGGAGGAGATCATGTTCCCCTCCCAAGACCTAGGGGTGGCAGATGGGGGTGTAAACTTCTAGAGGACTCTTGTGGTGGAGTAAAATTAGCAGCAATGACAAAAACATCTAATATTTATTGCATTTTTATCATGGTCTAAGAAAACTGGGTGCATATTTTTTAATCCTCATAATAACATTATGCAGCTATCAGAATTCTAAAAATTTACAAGCACTGAAACTGAGGCTTAGAGAGACAAACTACTTGCCCAAGGTTACATAGCTAGTGAGTCCTCTAGAGAGGTTTGCAACTCAGGC